TTTTTTTAAGCCAAAAGTCATACTTAAATTAATATTGTTATTAATACCTCGTATCATAATGGGGGCTCAGCAAAAAATTTCGCACACAGGCCCGTGGCTACGTTGTTCCGCCACTGCTCTCTAGTTATTTTCACCATCAGCACAATAATAATTACTAAAGAAAAGTTCCTATAAGACTCTGCATTAAATATACGAATTGGGGCCATTCCCGTAACCAAATGGAAGAAGTGAAATTTTGTGAGCGAAGATAGTTTCCAATTCAGACGTACATCCTCTCCGTGAGGAGGATTGGTGGAGAGTTAAAACAGTTCCTTTGGCACTACAGGCAATTTGGAAAGGACGTGACGATGGACACACACACATGTAAATGATTCTTGAAGGAAATTAATTATATCTACCTACAACAATCCACTTGTACGATAAAAGTGAACAGGTAATAAGCTAGCAGCGGTCGCCAACGCTTTAATTCTCACGGACCATCAAACAAAAAATATGTTATTTACTTAATAAAATGTACATTTCATTTAATACTGCATCAAAGAACAGCAAAATTATTTGGTATAGGTAATTTAAGTATAAAGGTTACCTTAAAAAACCTAAAAATAATATTTGTTTAGTAAAAAGACTACCGCTTGGTGAACGCTGAGCTAGAGGAAAAGTTGGACCGAAAGCGTGAGGTTTTTGATCCCGTAGCTGGAAAACGATGCATTTTTTGGAAGTAAAGTTGTAGAAAATTTAAAGAGCTTTGAATTTTGATCACAAAATGACCACCACTTTAATGAGGGGTCGATTTTTAGAACCCTCGACCCCTAAAATCCGCATATGTCGACCGCTGGGAAACCCATTTCGATCCTCAAGGGTCGATATCTACCACTTTGGAAATCCCTGTGTCTAAAAAGTGTCCTCTGCTCTGCTTCATTCTTATTTAATTCGTAATATTTTTACAAAAGAGGAAAGAGAATACTCAAAAACCTAGATAATTCCGTTGCCTCCATCATTCTACAGACTGTAAACATAAGTTCTGGTGCATTTCGGGACGTATTTTTCAAGCTAAATATTGTATTTCTCTTACCACTCACTTTTTAACCTACTTACATTTTACATCTTTTGTAGTAAAAAATAAACCGTTTGACATTTATCGAGAAGACGGTATTTAGGTAGGTATATATATATATATAGACCGGGCGCTAGATAGACTTGAGTGTGCAAAATATGAGGACCGCATTCTGTAAATAGTTTTGAACTCTGAAAAGCTTGCAGAATATAATTCTGGATGTTGCCAGTAGCTTTGTTGGTCCAATTATTTTTTATATCCCACCTCTTTAGATATCAAGTAAATAGACTGAACAAATTATGCTTTGGAACTATTTTAATGACAATATCCAGTTGCTTCTTATGTTTAAAGATTAACATAGCTAGTCAATTGTTACAACAATATAAAATAATTGAAATACAAACAAGAACTGTTGACAAAAAAAATTATTTCATACGAAAAAGCAAATGTTAACATAAGTTATCAAAAAAGGTAAAGAGCTTTCTGTACAAAATTCAACGATGCAGCTTGTAAACTGTTTCGAACCCAATCTGCTAGTTGAATCAGAGAGTGTAATGATGGCAAAATACGACAAATGTTTTCGCCAAGAGATTGAGCAGCCAAATGACATCCTGAAATGTATTTCCTCTTATATAAGTCATAAGAACATTCAAACCATACACCTAAACAACCTAGTAGAGCGAGCTTCTTCCAGAAATAGATTCCTAGGATGAAACCATCTGTATCAGGCTAAGGATTATGATGTGAGCAGATTGGGTTTTTACTGCGTGAAATATGCTATAAAACATCCCTGAATCGGCTTTTAAATAGTTCATATTCAAGTCAGGTACTTCAAATTATGAAGAGCCTTGAAACATTTCGTTGGATCATCAAATCCTCCACAGATATATAGATCGCGATCTTCTTGTACTTGTGTATATCTAGGAGTGGCAGTACAGAGCATTCGAACGAGCTGTATCTAATTTATTTTCAGGGTTTGAAAAGAAATTATTACAATTTTTGGCATTTTTGTGCGATCATTTGAAATTACAAAATTTTTAATCTCTTGACCTTTACTACGTAAAGTTGACTAAAGTTTTTATCGAAATATCATCAATTCGTCTTATTATATTTAGCTGCAAGAAAATGTTACAGATTTTTTTGAAGAACGCCTCAGAAAATCGCCAAAGGTGTTGAACTTTTTTTAATTGAATTCACTGAACAAGTGCCATTCCATTAACAATATTAATTTTTGTAGTATTCAAATTTAAAACGTCTTCTGTCGCGTGTTTGTGGTTATTTTCAATTTCGAGAGCCAGTTCCCATTTTGAAAATTTCCTGTAACATCCTTCTGCGTCCAAATTTTATATTTTAAAGTTATATTATCATATTTGTTGCTGCTATATATTCGTCTTCCTTGCAAGTACTTGTGAGTTTGCGTTATATTTATATATTATTTTTATTGACGTGTAAATAATTGTTAATGCAATTTCTTTTGCAAATATATGATGTGCTTGATATGATATCTAACAAGGACAATGTCGACGCTCTTTTCACATTTTCTCATATCGATATATTTGCATTTTTTGGAAGATTATTGATTTTTCTCGTGTACCTATTTAATTTATGAATTCTTTATTCATCATTTCTGTTTTATTTCATTTGCCAAACTTTAATTATGGTTAATCATAAAAAAAAACAATAATTGTCACAAAATTATCATCAGGATAGAAATATAACATGCACTCAGGCAACTTACTCTCGGCGCAAGCGGAGGGGATATAACACAAAATTGGACCAAGAGGTGTTCCGGCAACATCCGAATTATTAATCTACAAACTTTTCTGAACTGGGATCAATTGGCAGAATGCGGTCCTCGGTTTTTGCACACTCAAAGCCATCCAGCGCCTGCACTACTATAAACATCAAATAAAATTATAAAAAAATATTTATTGCTAAACTAATAATATAATGAGATAGAAAAATAGCGTTGTAAACGACACTACTACACTACACTTAGTGGAATGCATATGCGATTTGTTTTCTCTTGCGCGAAATCTTAACAGAAAGAAAAAGTGCATGGGCGCCGCATTTGTTGAGAAGTGAATGAAATACATTTTCACACCGCTTTTCTTTCGTGAAGGGTGTCATTTTCGAAGGGAGTCGTAGGAAAAAGAATTATACCTATATTTATTCTTATTATATTGCTACGTTGCGTAATTCCTAAACTACACAGAGGAAATTAAATTTCTGAACTTTTTATTACTATTATATTAACAGCATCTTTAGAAATGCAACAACAAACAATGGATAATCTCCTCAACCTTTTCCCTACTCACGTCAAACTTTTACTTTCTTATAGAGTCATTTGGGAATTGGGATATAGCGTTTTTATAAAGATTAAGAGAGCTTAAAGAAAGTAAATGTTATGTCTCTATGCAACACTATATGACGTACAGTTTTCTTAATACTAAAAAGATCGACACGTGGATGGACAGGTGGACAAAGCTCATTGTAGAACAGTAGCTCACATTTTATTCTCGGCTTATTCAGACTTTCACGTTTGTTACATTATTCCATTTCTTTTTTATGCGATTTGGCTTGATTTCGCTATCCAAATTACTAGAGCGTCTTGTCCAAACCAAAAGGCGTAGTCGCAATATGAGAAGTTTCGGTTTGCGTATAACAGGTTTCCGAAGATATAATGACAGCAAGTGTAAAATAGTTATTTAAATCCCTTTGAAAGCGAAGAAACTTCAACGAACTTTTCTAGCAGCCGGCTGAGTTGTGCAACGTCCATTTAAAATTCGTGTAACGGTTAGGGTGCCTTTAAATCTCCGAAAGTATTTACATTGTGTACGACCACTACTAAACCTTTCATTATTATTGGCGTTATTCTTGCCCAAGTTAAACAGAATGTCACTTTTGACACTATAATTGCGGGCAAACAAAGGCGAGCCTGTCAGAATTTTCTTCTTCGGTAACACCCTATGTGAACGTTGTCTTGGGGAGACCTATTAAGTGTTAATTCTCGAAGAAATAAATTTAAATTGTGTTGTAAACAACATTTAATTACACGAGGAGAGAAAGGGTCACAAACCTTCACGAGGTTCAAAGCTCAGTCATCGACAGGAAACGTTTTTAACATGCCCTTGAAATTATGTATAATTTTTTTCGTTATTATGATTGTTCGTTCGGACGAAAAAAAAACTTCTGAAATAAATGTGGCGGAAAGAGTTGCGCAATCAGAAAAATTCTCATTGTGCTGCTGTTCGGTAATTGAAAATGTTAATGGAAGTCGCGAGTGGCTCACGGCAACTTTACGATATACTGTAAAATTTCGAGTTTAAAATGACGTGCAGAAGGAATTTCATTCAAGAGATTGAGTGTATTTTCTTGTTTGAATTTAAGTAGTCAATCAAAATTCATTTCTTTCAAGTGAAATACCTCTAAAATCTGGCGTCGGCAGCGCCGCGGTGGTGACCTACGAAACCAACTTTAATAGAGTTGAGCTGAATACCCCTTGGATGTAATTTATTTGGCAGCTAAGAAATATGGCCCATAACTTTGTATAAAAATAAAGAAGAATTATATGAACATTATAAATCAGCTCGTACCCATTTTTATTTCACTTGCCAAATTTATTGTTGAATCTAATTATAGTCGGCGGCGGTAAGTGTGTATACACGTAATGAATAATTTTCGCCGCAATGGTTGCATTAATCATTTTAGTTCTATTGTTTCATAAAGCCCCATTCATTGACGCCGTTTTCATGTGCAACTTTTGTACGACTGGTTCCAGCATCCTTAATTTCTGTTAGACCGCCGCCACTTTTAATGCATCTACCATTCTTCGAATCTCTACAAAACGAAACTAATTTCAAACTCTCCCAACTTAGAAAACTCGAATTATAGTTAAGTTTCCGTCTTCAGTTAGTTCTAAATGAGTGTTTCCTTTTTCTTCCAGACGTTTCATACTCCGAGTTTTGGCGATGAGGAATTCGACATTCCAGCGATCAATCCAGAGCAGCAACACGCGGCAAATCAGTATCAGCAGCAGCAACAACTTAATATGCAACAAATGAACCAGCAGCAGGACAATATGGGAATGCACGACCCTTCCGGCGGATACCAACAGCCGTTGTACCTCTCAGGCCCCGATCACGGCATCGTAAACCCCTCCTATCACAGCCCTCAGCCGCAACCGAATTATGCGATGAGTCCCGGACAACAACAGCACAACAATCAGTTGTTGATGATGCAACAGCAGCAGCAGATGATGATGAGCCACGGTCAGCCACCCCCCGGCGCTTTAGGACAGTACAACGCCTCTCCGACGCAAGGACGGGGTGGAAATAGCCCACCTGCCGCTCCGGGACAAGAACCAACTACCAGCGAGGACTCAGACGATAGCACTCCACATCCTGCAATTGTAAGTTTCGCCTAGTCCTCGTTCGCATATGAATACGTTCTTTCAGATCACCGCAATGAAACGGCCGTCTCCCGAACCTGCGGATCAAGGGTTAGCAAAAGTTCAAAAGAAGCCCAAAGTACAGAAAAAAAAGAAGAAGAAGGATCCTAACGAACCACAAAAGTACGCTTATTTATTTATTTTAAATTAAAAAATCACTTTGAAGGAAAAACCGAAATACAAAAGCCTGCAATTTTAATTTCCATTATCGTAAAACTGTCGTAAACATAAAAGTTTTCTTAAATTTTCTTGCAAGTTAGCTGTATAGGTATATACTCGTACTATATATTTATCTTTATATATGGCGCCATAAAGAGGGAATAAAAGTAAAAAAGGATCCCAAGAAGGAATATGACAGATGTAGTTCGTGCACTTAACGGCGTTTATGTTTGGATATCAAAATTTACTAGTATGCTTGCCGAAATTTTGTTTAGACAAAGCATGTAGAACGCCCAAAACGTAAGAAATTTAGAATTGAATTGCCCTGGTATAAAGTATAAGGCTATTGATTTTTACTCGGCTATTAAACGGTATTAAAATGTTGAGAATGCCATTTTCCCCCTTGTATCGAGAATGGAAGGGGGGGAGCGTTTATATGGCCCATAAACCTAACATTCTCCTGCGCAAGTTGTAAAGCAGATTTATTGTTGCAATTTTCTTTTACATACTATGTATTTCTATGTTTTGAAAAATTGATGGCTTTAATTTTGAAGTCTGTATTTTTGCGACGTTACTCGATTTTTTTGTTGTGCAATTACGTTTTATGTTTACGATTTTGGGAAATCAATACGCTTTTACGCCTTCTCACGGAAAAGAATAAATCCACCTCCACTTGTAATGGAAATGTGATGAAGTTCTCCGATCAGCTTTGGGAATAATTAATTGTTTAAAGAGAGAACGAAACTAACATTGAACTTCTTTTGTAGGGAAAGTCATAATCATAAGTAAGGTAACTAGGTACTTGTGAAGACGCAAGTGTATTTTTTAATAACAAACGAAGGGCTAAACAAGGGGTCTGCAAGTAAAAGAAATATAGTTCTCGACTTCAAGTCAATCATTCAATCTTTCACGTTTTACAAATGAGACATAAAACTGAAATCCCTTCTTTACTTTAAAATCCACGTTTTCTCACCTCCTCACCCCTCATCCAGCACCTCACTCTTATTTGTTGCTGTCATTTCCACCTTCGAAAAGTTCCATAACATGCGTTCTATGTCCTCTTCTTCGTCACCGCATATTCTACATTATCTTTCTTCTTCTTCTTGTTTTCATTTCTTTCCCTCCCTCTTTATTTCCGCATCTGAATCTCGCTATTGTTTTAATATTTTTTCTTCCTTCCCACAAATATTTTGGTAACCACTTCCTTATTAGATCTTTCTTCCTTTTGCGCTCTGTTATCATATTTGTACATCTAGACCCTTTTGAGCTCATTTTCCATCTTTTCTTCTACCCCTCTCCTCCTTTCGACTTCAACCCGTCCGTATTCATTTCTTTCGTAATATTTTCCTCTGTAGTTCTTCCCACATTCATTTTGCGTTCATCCTTGTCAAGCATTCTTTCACCAATTCGCTTTCTCTATCTCCCCTTTCCTGCGCCCCGACGATATTTTTATCTTTTCCATTTTAGATTCTTCTTGTAGTTTACAACGGGGTTAAGTAGAGAATCGTGCTTGTCTACTCAAAATTGATCATGAACGTAGCAATCTGAGGATGTCGAGGTAGAATTAACATTTCAGCATTGTAAGATTTCACTTAACATCAAATTCTAGGAACTCTGTTGACTATTTGGCCTTCTGAAATCAACTCCTGACTTGACAATAAATTTACATTTTCTTTTGTAATTTAGTTGTAAAGTAAATGGTCCATTTTTGCTAAATAATAGTTATTTACATAAAAATCAGAAAAATGACGCATAAAGGGCGAGGAAATATTAAAGTACGAGGCCCCTTTAGCACTGAGTATTTTAATTTCCGAGAACTTACGCATAAAATATGTAGATGACGCGGAAATTTACACTAATCATTTTCGATCGCGCTGTATATAATCCAATTATTAATTTAATGTTCCTTTGACATTTGACAACGACGTCAAAAGTCTCACTAAAGTGTCAAATTTACGCTAAAACGTATATTTTGTGAGATTCTAGTTTTGCTATCTAATCGAAAAGAGGCAAAAAAAAAATGTAAGTAACGTGTACAAAAAACATATCCGTAAACAAGGTTTGCTATGAATTTTGAACAACAATTAGTCACACAGGGACATTTGACAGTCCAAACGGGTTGTAACTATTTTAAACAAAAGAAATGTTTGTCAGCTGAAATTCTCAAATCCTCATTTACCTACATGTCACATTTTATCTCTTTGCAGTGGCGGATTTACATATAGGCACACTAGGCACGTGCCTAGGGGTGGCAGCTTTAGGGGGCGGCATTTTTTGCACTATATTTATTTTACGTAACATTTTAAGTTTTAAAATAAGTCCGTTAATAAGTTACAAATGACAAAAATGTTTAATTAAAATTATGAAATAAATTGGAATTGGTAGATAGCGAGGTAGATCGTTTCTTTTCATATTAGTTTTAAAAATGTCATGTTATAATTTGAATTTTATTTTAGAATGTATTGCAATTTAAAGATTATTTTGGGGCGCATATCTTTCGGTGTGCTTAGGGGCAAAATTTAAATCTGCCACTGTCTCTTTGTCAATATGTTTAATGAAATCCACACATAGCGACTGCAAAGGGACCGGTATATTGCGTCGTACTAACAGGATGACGCAAAAAAACGGATCATTTTTTAAATTAATTTTATTAATATACTAAGCGGCGATAAGGTAATCCGGCACCCAAATTTTTCGCTTAAGTATGCCGCATTAATAGATTTGTATGGGAAATAAAGCATTTTTTATATCCTACATGTACTATGTGAGAAATAAATTCTCTCATAGACTCCTACAGTAAAAGAGTGCGAAAGTAGGTACATAAAAGTCCACCATTTTGTTTAAGCAACCGACGCGCGCGGTCTACTACTAAATACTCTCCGCACGCCCGCGACAGGCGCCAACGAAAACAAAAAGACGCGTGATTTCCTTGGCAAGGTAAGTCCATAAATAGGTACCCACCTACCAAAATACCGATTTACATTGCCGCAAAACAATAATCAGGCTTATACAGGGAAAAGGGCGCGTGGGAGAACAGCGTTTTACTGTTTACTTGTGAAGACATATGGCGCACGCCGTCGATTTTATGAAAAATACGTAGTCTAATACAGTTGGTCCCCAAAAGCTGAGTCCTATTAAACGGATGTACTTTGTAATATGTATCAGAACCTAATTTAACGTTTTTTCCGCCTCCAAAACGGATCGTCATTATTAAAAGCGACGTGGCCGTAGTAACCCGCACCCCACTGTACTTTTCAAAGAATATGTGATTTTGAGTTTGTAAATATTTTAAACAAAAGAAATAATTTTGTCAAATGTGGGATCAATCTGTCAAACAATTACTTTTTGATTTTTTGTCTAGAAGTATTTTGCAGGTGCTTTCAAATATCAGTGATATAGGTACCAAATTTATAAGTGATTTGGGTTAATTAACTTAATTAATCAGTCTATGTATCTAGATACGAAACAGTTATCTGGAGTTAGATCCAGAAATTATTAGGTATCTAATATAATATCCATCAACAACGGTTATTGCGTTTGAATTATTGTAAAGTCCCAAAAGTACCGTCATAATGTAATAGAAAAATAATAAGATCTCTTTTCAGGCCTGTGTCCGCATATGCGTTATTTTTCCGTGATACTCAAGCTGCCATTAAGGGACAAAATCCTAGTGCAAGTTTCGGTGAGGTTTCGAAAATTGTTGCTTCAATGTGGGATGCATTGGATTCGGAACATAAGAATGTGAGTATTTTTCATAGACTAATTAGGTCTACGTATTTTTGTCTAAATTAATTTCTGACCATAGTCCTCTAAGCCTTTTATTATCAGGAATTTTTAATATCTCAAATCATGTGAAGTAAAAAAAAGGAGAAGGTGTCTATTACGCTTCATACCCTTTATTTAGTATTTATTTATTCTTTTTTGTTGCTAGGTATATAAAAAGAAAACAGAAGCTGCTAAGAAGGAATATTTGAAAGCTTTAGCTGCCTATAGGGCGAGTTTAGTTTCAAAAGGAGCCGGTGAAGGAGACGGTATGTACGGAAATTATGGCAATTACGGCGCGGGACCACCTCCTCAGTATAACGCCTACTCGCCACAAAACACCTTACCCTCACCACCAATGACGACAGCACCCGCACCTACGAGCCAGCAGCAACCGCTCATGGCCAAAAAGCCTATGATGAGTCCGATGAACGGACAGCAACATCAAGCGATGTTACAATCACCTATGGGTCCAGTGCCAAATCATATGAACATGCCCCAGCACATGCCGCAGGGACACAACACAACCTACATGCAACAGGTAGCACCTTCACCCTTTCGAAAAATCCACCTAACCGCCTGTCTTACAGCAGCAAGTCGCCCAGCAGCACATGCAGCACGTATCGCCACCACCGATGGTGTCAACCTCGCCTCCCGTCTCATCGGCCGGACCGGCGGCTTCCCAAGTTCCCCCCAACTCGGCGCAGCCGAACGTTGGCCAAGGTCCGATGCGCCCACCTAACTCCTGCATTCGTAACGGCTGCCCCAATCCAGCCATCTCCAACGCCGAATGGGAAGACGAGTACTGCAGCAATGAGTGTGTTGTCAGTCACTGCCGGTAAGTCCGCCAATGTGGAAGAGCCACATGCAAATGTTGTTGCCTCATTGAGGGAAAAAAATGTCTAATGCCAATTAATTCTAATTAATAACGATATCACAGCTTAAATGAGAACAGTGACAACATCTACATGTTTTGCACATTTAACGCGCATCAAATCTAATTTAAATAATTTTCCAGGGACGTATTTTCCAATTGGGTGGCGACAAATCAAAATCAATCACAAAATTACTCGACCGTTAAATAAATTTCGAATAGATAAGAGAGTTTATATTCGAAAACTTTAGCAATACTGAGATGGTAGTTATGTTTTACATATAGGTGGTGACTGCAAAGTCTGGACATGTTTTAAGAATAAAGTTACGAGTTATGTAAATAAAAAATGATTGATAATCATCACGGTGGGATTGTATTGTCGCAGAAAAATGGAAGCAATACAGTTTCGCTAATTTTTAGGTATACAAAAAAAGACACTTGTAATCTCAACTTTTTTCTCTCGCTTTGGAAGACTGTTTGATGCCGTATTTATTACTCTTACCTTTGAGAAAAGGGGAGGGACATTCAGTAATAAATACGGGCCCGATCCGCACTCCAGACTGAGAGGACATAGCATTAGTATAATGTGTATATTACGACATTTGTTAATCATGCTCTGTATATGCATGTATCTTGATAAAGTTAAAGTAGGTAGATATGTCCAAAGTAAGGTAAAATATCATTACGTTTTAGTTTTTAGGTAATCTGTGTTGTTGAAATTTTATTAAAAATTGTGAATATCAAAATCATACCATAATAAATACCGTTCCTTCTTTTTAAATATTTTTAATAACAATCGAAGGTAGTGAATTGAAGATAGTGTTACCTTATTCTTCATGTTCCGTTCATCGTAAACCAGTATTAATCTCCAGTTATTTTTGTATCGTTCATTGACCAATAAAATTACGCTTTCCCAGTGTATATATCAATTTTAATTGTTATTTTGTTGTTATTGTAAGCAGTTTGTTCGAATGCAATACCTTTACATATGGAAACATGGTGACGGATGTACATTTTGTGAATATATAATTTGTTGGACCAAACTGTTTGAAACAGTACTCTTTTTTAAAAATGCAATATTGTTTTCCGTTTCAGCAACACCTTCGTACTGTTTGAAATACTTTGGACTGTGTGAGAGATTAGACGTAATGTCACATGATGGTCGAGACATTTAATTAAGTTAGAATTTTTAAGTTGCGACGAAAGTGAACGTTCAAAAATGAATTACTTTTAAGCAATCTGCAATTTATTTAAGCTTTAAAAAATATTGTTGAGTACAGTTTTGTTTCATTTTTACATTGTAAATATCATACTTTATCCGACATGCACACTACCTATAATGTGTAATCAATATTTAAAATAATAAATAGATCTAATTAAATTTATTATCATTTACTGAACTGTTTCTGGTAGATGGTAGTTAGATGAAGTATACCACTGAATAAAAGAAGTACACTGGTTCAAGTAACTTCCACCGCGCGAGTATGAGGAGTAGGGAACGCGGTGCTCTCTTCACTCATTCTCCTCCAAGCGTTTCATTATTTTCGTGACCGTAACCGCTGAGCGCTGACGCTCCTAACATTCGATCTTTCACTTTAAAAAAAAAGGAGGCGCTTTTGAGGCTCTGCAGAGAGGCGCGGCTGATAGCGAAACAATGCTTATTTATATGGACTTGTAGTGCACTAGCACTTCGGCTACACAAACGCGTGCTGCTGGTAGCGCGTGCCCTTCACAGGGCGCGATTCGCAGCGCCACTCTTAGCGGAAAGCGCACGTACCAAAAGGGCCGCCATTCTTTGAAAAAATGCGTTGGTGTCGCACGTCACTACACTCACACCCCCTCCAACAACATGGATACAAAAGTCACAGTAATTTGCTGATATGTGTATGTGTATGCGCTGCTTTATTATTAAAGAGTAATTGTTCAAATTCCCACAGGAAAATGTTTGTTGACCTGTTACGCCATTCATTGTAATTTGGATGTTATAACAATTATTTATTAATTACGGTAAATTTTTGTTATTGGTATCTATAGGTACAACCTACATAACTGAAAATTGGTTTGTTTTAGATTCCTTTTTGTGCATCTTTTTATTAACACGGGACTCACTCATTTTCCCTTTGCGATCTTGACGCACTTCCCGTCAGGCATTAATAACTGTCTATAACGATCTTTTAAAAAGCAAAGCCCCAAATTCGCGGCATCCTTTACGTGTGCCCTTTTTTTAAAGAAAAGATTCTCCAATTGGATTCCCTTAGATCACAGATTTCCTTTCTGGGACACCACGTTGAAAACACAAGTTCTCGACGGAAGTTAAGCAACGTCGCGGGCGCGGTCAGTACCTAATTTGGGATGGGGGTGACCACTTGGTAACACTGCATGCGTGCAATTTTTGTTAGATGGGTCGGGTCCCAGTCAACTTTGGGATCCACTGCTAATACATTCCATGCAAGCTCCTGCTAGCGTTAAAGGCTTTTAATTTGGTTTTATGGTTTTTAAGTACCTAAGTACCACCTCAATCCAAAGAATCTCTCTAAAAGCCTCCAAAATTATTTAAGAACCTTTTAAAGCCGAGTTTTTAAAGGCGTTTAGTTTTATCAACTTTTAGAACGGTGAATTTAGACATTCAGTCTTTAAGAGCTCTAGTCGTCAAGAAGAGCGAATCTAGAAGTCTGAAAATCCTTAAGGAGCTTTTTTGTCTCCCTAAAATACTCTACGAATCCATAGAGTAAAATAGAGTAAATAATATAAAGAGGTGTCATGGGATAGGATATTGTTGCAGTAGAAAAATCTTGTAAGGAAGTGTTGCTATCTTGTGACTGTTCTTCAAAGCTGTTGTATCGTAAACAAAGTTGAGATTTGAATTACGTCATTACTTTGCACCAGACACAGACCAGACCATGATACTGTCAGCATTATATTTAATCACCGGAATGTGATATTATGCTTCTTATGCAAGGAGTCTTTTAATTCTTTCAGGCCATAGACCTATTTATTTTATTATTTTTAACGCCTTACCTTTACCCAATTACAAACTTTATTTGAATTTAGCTAGCAATGAAAATTAAATAGGTACAGTGAGAAAATATAACTGATTATGCGTATCATTTCTAACGTCCTTTTGCGCAATTCACTAATGTGGGAGAGCTGTAAGTATAGTGTATTTGTGAGAGAAAAGATCAATTCCATCCATACTACCATTGTATATAAAGATGTATATTATATACAATGATATTTTTTTTTCGGGCCAAAAAAAAGGCAGTGTATATACACCTATTATAACCTTCCTTTTTTCCAAAAATTGACTGCACCAAAATTTCTCGGGAAAACAGTTTTTCTTATTAATTTTGGTGCGTAGAATCCAAAACAATTCGTACTTTTTCGATTAGACTTCTCAATCAAAAGTTATGGACTAGAAACCAATTTCGAAAGAAAATTCAAAGGGCTATAACTTTTGAACTAGTAGCCCAATCTTGGAACTGTTTGAAATTATGGATTCTACAGGCCACATTCTATAAGAAAATTTTTTTTCCGGGTCGATCTGAGACCATTTTTTTTCGGGGCTCAAAAAAAGGCAGTGTATAACCTTCCTTTTTTACCAAAAATCGACTGCACCAAAATTTCTCGGGAAAACACTTTTTCTCATTAATTTTGGGGTGTAGAATCCAAAACAATTCGTACTTTTTCGATCAGACTTCTCAATCAAAAGTTATAGACTAGAAACGCATTCAAAAAATACTAAGTACATCGGAACTGATTTGGCACTGGGCAGTCGGCAGTTCCGCACAGAAAAATCAGGAAAATTCTCTCTTCGCTGACCTATTAATCTACAGAACAAAGCGATACAAGCTTTATACAGGAGGTCGATTGTGTCCGTCTGTCCGTCCGTGAACAGGATGGGTAACTGCCAAACGCTTGAGCCGATTTGGTTCAAACTGCGCACAGTTGGCCTATAGGTACTATATATCATGTGTAATAAACTTATTAAAAATGGGCCAAATCCAAGCACCCCTTACATGCATGTACCTATTTCTCATGTTCAAAAACATGCACACAATAAATATGAAATATTTTTGCCTATTGTACACAATATACGAATTTGAGTTTTCATAAAATAATTGTTACGTAAATCAGTGATGTCATTTAAAACGCTATGCCTTCTTGCGATGCAAATATAGCTAAGATAATGTTCTATAATGGGCATCATCAAACGATATGCAAAAGTTTATTATTAAATGACAAATTGTGGTACAGAGGTCAAGGTAAAGACCATCTTTCGTCAATGGCAGAATATTCATTATGTTATGTGAGTAGCAAAATGTTGCTGATAAATAAAAGTATACATTTCAGGGTCGCGGTCGCCCCTCCATTCTCCCCTTATATTAACGCACAACGAGATAACAACATTAACAAGCAGTGTTACTTGTTAGTAATAATTTTGTACACTATTCTTGAATTCAGAGGGAGCGTCGGCATCTGCTTTTCGCCATCTATGTTCAGGGATAGTCTCTCACTGCCACAAATTTATACAACATGGAACCTCTTTATAAGAATCCTTGTAAAACTCCTTATAAAAGTCCCCTGTATATGTATTCTCAAAATTTTACAAGAACATCCACTGCAAATGCTTTAAAATCTTTACAAGAATTTTAATTTTTAAAGGGTTTCTTGAGTCTTGAGTTTTCATATGTGCTTAATAAAAAACCTTTGAGGTCCTCCAAGAGCTTTCTAGATTACCTTATTTTAAAGTCGGCATCAGGATTTAAGAGGGTTTATGTAACTTGCCGAGCCTACCAAGCAAAAGTATTGGGATACAGTGTGAATCTAAACCATGAAAACTGGCGTTTATCAAAACCTTGTTCATAAAAGGCCCTGGAACGGACAACTAACGGCGGTCGCCGCCTTCCGAAGCTTTTAAGAGACAAAAAAATATCGAATAATTCCTATTTAAAACTTTTCAGATTTGGAGACGAAACGTTTTAGACTAGGGAAGTACAGCATTTTTTGTAAAAAATTGTTTCTTTCAGTTTCCTATGTTTCCTGTGAGAGCTGAAAAAACCTTTCAAGAGCATCGGTCTCTTGCGGAACTTGCATCTGCTCAACATCCAATTGAATAAGGTTTTCCCTTAGACCAGCAGGAACCTCTACATCATTTCAAAAAATCCTAATAAATTGTCTAATTTTGTATGTAATTGCGGAATTTCAGGAATCGAAAATGTAGCACGTCTCGTTTCTAGAGTTGTCATGAACCCACATATAGATAGACGAATTCAATTAGTTCTCATCAACTCCGAAGGTCTTTTGACTTTTTTATCAATACGAACACATCACTTAAATTAGAGCGGAATGGATGGCGGACCCTGACCTATACAATAATGGTATCCGCAAAATTCATGCGAATGAGTGTATTTGATAAAAAACACTCATTCCCATGACAAATCACTATGCTGATTTGCGTAATCTGGATATTGGCGTCTTTACGGAGGAAAACAACTCGTAAAACATATCTCCGAATGAATCTCATTGATAAAAGTGGAAGTTTTGCCAAATTTTGTTGAGGAAGTGATGTTGCGTATCGGAAAACTAACGAATTAGCTTTGGCAACCGCAAGTGATTCACGCGCACTTTCTTAATTGTCGCGCGGGTATAAATAAATAAATCTATGAAATACCATCAGTCAACAAACTATTGTCACAATTAGTAATTCCATTGCCCGCGATGACGGCCTTAAGTTCAATGTAACCGACAGCTTATTTTCTATCGGGGCAACTTATCTATCGTTGCGTTATCACATTGCATTACCATCCTTATTATAATTACAATAATTGCATAAAAATGAAGTGCTTTTTTTGTTCTTTAATATTGTTAAAAGTTGCGCTATGCCATCCAGTCCCATCGGTTTCACCAATAGCCTCAACTTTACCAACGAGTGAAACGGTAACACCCTCTTTGTCCTACAAATTTTTATCGAAATTTTTAGTTTGACTTCATGAAACGGTATGGATATTTGGATGACACACCAAATTCCGAAGCTCTCTATACTGAAGATGCAATACGCGATGTTATCAAGACTATGCAAAAGTTTGGCGGGATACCACAAACTGGTGTTGTTGATAACGCAACTTTGGCGGTGAGTACCTACTGCAAAGGCCGTCCTTGGATTTTGAATCTGTCTTCTTTGATAACAGCTAATGAAGGCCCGAAGATGCGGAGTGCCCGATATTATAAGAAATTCTAGGAGCAAGAGATATGTGCTCGGATCCAAGGGTTGGAAGAAACGCCATATTACTTACTAGTACGTAATGGCACAGCCTGAAAACATAATGCTAATGATTTGTTGCAGTTTGTACAATTGGACACCGAAGCTTGGTGAAGAAGTGATAGCGCAAAATATCCAACAAGCTCTGGACACTTGGGGCAAGTACGGAAGGCTAACATTTACTCGTGTCTACGATTTCAATGCCGACATCATTGTCATGTTTGCTCGCGGTCCTCATGGCGATAAGTAAATCATTCTTCGGTTATTATAATCTTAACATTAGCGTGTATCTTCAGCTTTGCTTTCGACGGACCTGGAGAGGTACTGGCTCACGCGTTCTTCCCCTCGGATTTCCACGGGAGAGGAGGTGACATACATTTTGATGAAGAAGAAGAATGGAGCATCCACACCAAGGAATCAACCCAAGGTACTGATTTCTTCACCGTTGCCTTCCACGAGTTGGGGCACTCGCTTGGCCTCTCCCATTCCCCTGTAGTCTCATCGATAATGTTCCCCTACTATCAAGGTTACGCGAATGATTTAGACTACGACGATATTTTGGGAATGTACGCTCTGTACAGTAAGTAGTACTCGAATTGTAATTGGAAACTATCAATCACGTAGTTCAAGGAATGCCGGAATCCGGACCCGTGCATTTTCCTCCACCGTCTCCACCAAGAACAACCACAGCACGGACTCCTCCAGCGTACGACTACGATGAAGATGAAAATAGTGTTGAGGAAACCGACCAAGTAGATACCGATAAGGAAGACGGCAGCTACAATGAAGATGACAACGAAATACCTAATATACCTGAAACTGAGGAACCCGAACAACCGGAAACCGGCTACGAATCTAATGAAGATGACAAAGATGAAGGTTTGACAGACGATGTTGTGAAAGAGGAAGATCTTGATGAAGATGAAGAACATCTACCAGACGAAGACGTTACACCAGGTGCAGAGCCTTCAATTCCGGATGTATGCGAAGGAAATATTGACGCCATTTCTGCGATACGCGAACAGCTCTTTGTTTTTAAAGGGGAATACTTCTGGCGTTTGAGGGATAAGAACCAATTAGAGCAGGGATATCCCGCCCGCATACAGCAGATGTTCCCTCTTCCAGAATCGATACGAAAGATCGACGCGGTATACGAAAGACCAGACAGCATGATCGTGCTATTTTCAGGTATGTGGTTTTTCTCTCGTAGAACAAAGCAAACCAGAAATTTACAGGCAGTCAATTTTGGGTTTATGACGGTCACGTGTTTGTTGAAGACAGCCCTCAAAGCTTATCAAAGTACGGTCTCCCGGACGATTTGGATCGAATTGATGCTGTTATTAGCTGGCCTAAGAATGGTACTTGCGTGCCGAGCGCTTGGATTTTATAATCAGGATTATTTCAGGAAAAACTTATTTGTTCAAAAATGACAGGATGTGGAGATATAATGAAGATACACGAACTGTAGATGCCGGTTATCCGATGCATATACAAAGATGGCGTGGTGTTCCCGAAAATCTGGACGCAGCAATGTCATGGAATGATGGTAGTTGAGCTCTCCACGCTAACTAATGCACTTTATAATGTTCAAATTCCAGGAAAGACGTACTTTTTCAAGGGGAAGCTTTATTGGACGTTTGATGATACATGGATAAGCGTCACGGAAACATCTCCTCTGCCGATGCCTCAGCTATGGTTAGGCTGTCCAGAAAAGCAGTTTGTTAGAGATTATTTTGCTAACCATAAACCGAAAAACGAAACTGATTACCATCAACTTTATGGGCAGCCTTAGTTGTATTTACTGTTATTTGTGCATTAATAAACATATACATTGTTGAGCTAACTTATTTAAGAAAAAAAGGTCTTATGAACGAACGGGCAGCAGTACTTATAACCCACACACTGGACCTCTCTGCTGTTCGAAAGACCTGTAGTTATCGACTGATATGAGAAAGTACCTATATAACTTTTGAATGTAAAGTTTAGTCTTGAGCTTCACTTGACATTGCCTTTGGTGTTATTATATGTTACATTACTCATAGGATGATTTCAAAGTAGTTTTACTGATTACAGTTCCGAATAGCCTTCAGGAGATTTTGACTATGAATTGGAATTCTTTAAAAGGGAATGGCGTTTTAGATAAAAAAAATCACGTATAAAGGTTTTTTTACAGGTGACTGTGACTAATAGTTTCTAGCATCATCCTGTTCATCATTTAGTCATATCAATCATCTTGGTTATTTAAGCCCCAATTGCCAGGGGTGGGTAAAATACCTACATCTAAAAATTTATTTTATTTAAAATGTAAAATTGGAAATTGTTTTTGGACGTTTATACCTATTAAATAGATAATAACTAATTAAAATTTCAAATACAAATGTTATTTGACGATTTCTTTATTTGGCATGAATCATGAACATTCCTGCCACAAGGTGACTCCCAGAGTTTTACAACTTTGATGATTTTTTGAACAGAGTAAAGAATTTTGAGATGTAGAAATCCAAAAGACCAAAATTTGTTAAGATTAGACCTCTATATGAAAAGTTGTACTCCTACTTTGGAAATCATTTTTTTTTTTTTGCATAATTTTTGATGATCTGGCTATTTAGTTCTAGCTTTACTATCTACAGCATGTAGAATGTAGAAAGGTTAATGTAAATAACACATTCGTAAAAATCATTTATAAATAATTCGTTATTAAAAGTTACTAATCGTATAACGTGACTTATAAAGGTAACAATTTATGATGTAGACGCCGAGACTTGGTCCTCCTTGCTACCAGTTTGCGATAGGTGTTTAACAATATCGACCCAATCCCAACCACGAGGTCTTTCTCCCTTATCTCCAACCTTATCCCACTGTCTCCTTTTTTGTGCCTTTGTCAATTGCTCCTTCTTTAAACATTTTTTCTTATTGTCGTCCACTTGATCACCGATTGTCAATTCCTCAACTTTGTCGGTCACAATTTCTGCATTAGCCAATTCCTTTACAAAGTCATCGAATTTTTCCTTGACATACTCGAAGAGAGAATACGTCATTGACATCCCTAAGTATTGTTCGGCTTCCCCCAATACCATGTCTTTTACTCTCTGCTTTAAAGAAGCATTTCTAAAAGCATACAATTTATTGAACGCAACTTTCTATTCAACTATTACATGTGACGATTGTAGAATGTGTCCATATTTACATCGGGTTTTTCGGTTGGGTAATTTTCGCCCCATATTATTTCTAACAGCAATGATCGTGGACTATCGGGTTCTCCATACTGAAAAGGAATTAATTAACTATTGAAGTACGGCAAGGTCTCACCTTATACTGAAAGACGGTGTTGGAAACTTGCTTGAAGGCAGTGTCGCCTTCGTAAATTGATAACAAAGCTTCTCGTTCCTCATCCTGAAATTCCAATTCGCTCATAATTACGGGACGAGCATTACGTATTTTTTTGGTTTACTTTTGAAAATTCAGACAAGACGGCGTGACTTAACCTTACTTTTATTTGACGTTAACCACACACTGTTGCATTTTTTATTTGGAGGGAATACACATGTCAAATTAAATAGAACATTTATTATTTAAATTACAATATTATTTAAATGTTGAAATTACAGTTGATGAGTTTAATAAACCTAATGAGGTACTTTGAGATGGAGTGCTAAAGCGTGGTCGTTCCTGAAACATAGAGGGTAACTTTTAACTTAATAACGACACCACTACTAACCATTTTCATGCGATGTATTTGATCCATTGCATGTGGTATAAGGGGACGCATACTATTAATTTCCATTATCGTTAGATTATCTACATTACCATATGATTTTCCAGTTATCAATGTGTTAACAGACGATCTTAGCTTAGCCATGCGTATATCCCAAATATCTTTTATTATTGTTCGAACTTCATCAGCACGTGCGATATCATCCGTGGCTATGCTGAGCAACAATTTACCCTCAATCATGTAGTGTTCACTCGGCATTTTGACAAAGTTTCTACAAATTTATTCAAGAATCCCCTCGACAAAAGTAAACTGTACCTGGAAGCCTTTTCGGCTTCTTTTAACAATTCTAATTGCTCGACATCCATCCAGTCTGGCGGCTGAATTTTGCATTTACGTTGCTGCTTCAAATTGACTGCTACCCATAAAGGGACATTAACTGGAAGACTTGCACGAAAGGGTCCGATGTCTCCAGACACTAAATGTATCGTGCTACTATTAAAGGTTGGGATTATGCTAATTAGTTGCTTTTCTCCGAGAAATTCTACTTCTTCGGGATTCATTT